TGGGGGGTGGGGGGGCCAGCCGGGGGGGGGTCTTCTCCGACAGCTCCTCTGGCTGTGCCTGCCTCTGCCCTGGCAGGGGGAACTGTGGGGGCTCTCCCCTGCCACCGCTTGCCCAGCCAGCGCGGGCAGGGGGGAGGAGGGGCGCAGTTCAGGCACGGCTCACTCTGGGCAGCAACAGGGCATAGCCCCCACTTCTCAGTGCTGCCTTGGGCAGCTGTCAGCTGCCTGTTTAGTATATGGCCGAATCTCTGAATTCACCAAATCTTTTTCCAAATCTTTTTCTGAATCAATTCGGATGCTTCAAATCAATTTGGAGCTTTTAGTTGGCCTCCTGATTCATTTCGCATCTGGATATTTAGTCCCTGAATGGGGCCGAATCTCCTCTGAATCGAATCAGCTATTGAAGCTTCGTGCAGCCCTATCAGATAGATATGAGCTGCCCTGGCTTAAGAAGTAAGGAGTAAGAATGGGCACAGAAACAGTAATTGCAGAGCAGCTGATGCAAGCAAAGCTGTCCCCACTGAACTTCAGGCATGTAAATAGTTCCTCCTCTTTTCATAAAGACCTACCCTCACCCCCTTCCACTCCCAGTTAAGTTTCTTTGTAACCCTGTCCCAGGCTAGTTTTTCCCAATTTGTGGTGTCAATGCCACAGTTCTTAATGTTTACTTTAAGAGTATCCTTGAAGTGTTTCCTCTTGCCCGGTAAGGTGCTTTGTCCTTGGCTGAATTGAGAGTACAGCAGTTGTTTTGGTATACATACTTCAGACATGCACACACAAGGCCCTGTCTACCGCAAATGATGTTGTATAATCAATGCTCCCACTCCGGCAGTGTTAGTGTGAGTCAGGACACTGGTATTTGTGCAATAATCTTTCCACTTTATACCAAGAATCTTCTGGAGGTAGCACCGGTGATGGCATTCCAGGTCATTTGGAAGCTGGTCACCGTATGCTTGTGCAAAGATTCGAGGAGACGCATATTAACTTCTGAAGAGCTGCATGTGGCTCCGGAGCCGCAGGTTGGCTACCCCTGCCCTAGAGTAATTACAGCCACAGAGGTCGTGTCCAGATGACCACGGCCATACGGTATGTAGTGCTGCGGTCTCATCTGTGTTGCTACTTACCATGCAAGCAGGTGCTCTCTGCGCTGCAACCGGGGGGCGGGGGGGCGGGCGCAGGTGTTGATCCTGGGGCATCCCAGGGTCAAAAAACCCATGCGGAAAAAAGCGGGGATACATGGCAGCAGCATGCGCCACCCAAAACCAGATCCTGGCCGGCCAGAGCCACACTCCAGCTGCTGGCCAGGCTCCCAGCTATGAAAGTGCTGTGGCTGCAGCTTCTCTGCCCCCCAGAACCTCAGGTAAAGCTGCTGGGGCCAGCACATTTGCTAGTCCCAGCTTCCTCTACCCCACCTGGAGTAACGTGCCATGTGCCAGAGTGCATGTAGCACAAGAATTTCCTAGGTGCAAGTAGCAGTGGCACAAGATGTGCTGCTGCTGCTGCTTGTTCCTGGGGAAACAAATGGCTGTGCTCACCTGGATGCAGTCAGAGGTCATTACTGTGGAGTAACTAAAGCTCCTGCCCTGCCTATGTGGGACACAAGATGGGGAATTAGGGACTTCCTGAGTTACAATCATGCTTATAACTTTTATAACCCCTAACTGCTGGGAACTGCTGTTTTAGAGCCTGAGACGGGCCCGCTGAAATGTAAATATTTGTACAAGGAATGGGAGTTCAGCATACTGTTGTACTCTAAGGGTGTGGATGCATGACATAATTACTAGGGCTGTGTGAAGCTTCGATTCCTGATTCGATTTGGCCCAATTCGGTGGCCGAATCTCTGAATCCAAATCGAATCAGGAGACCCTTTAATCTCTCCGAATCTAATTGAAACCCTCTGAATCAGTTCAGAGAGATTTGGAAAGATTTGGCAATTTGGACATAGACACAGCTTTAAATGTTTTTTCTACATACCTCTAGGTAGCAGGTGGCTTGTGAATGCTGTGATGCTGGGGGGGATGGAGTGTCCCACAGAAGCACGGGGGGCTCCCCAGCACGCTCGGCACCAGACCCAGAAGTGAACCAGAAGCACTTCTGATCCACTTCCAAGTCTGCTGGAGAGCATGAGGGGGAGGCCCCCCTGTACCCCCTTGGCTCAGTGACTGGTGCCTCCTGGGTCTGGGGGGCACCCGGAGTCCCCCTCGTGGCTGATTGCCAAGCCAGGGGAACACAGGGGGACCTCCTGCGCACTCCCCAGCGGACTTGGAAGTGGACTGGAAGTACTTTTGGTCCACTTCTGGGTTTGCCACTGAGCATGTGGGGGGGGGCCCCCCCGCACTGCTGTGGGACTCTGTATCCACCTCAGCATTGCAGAGTCCACAAGTCATGCTGGTACCTCAAAGTATGTAGAAAAAACATTTAAAGATGTGTCCATGTCCGAATCAGTATCAAATCTTCAGATTTGGATTCGGCTGAATTGAATCGGGCACAGTGATCTGAATCAACTAATTAAATCACTGTCCCCGATTCAGGCCAAATCCAAATCGAATAGGGCCCATTTTGCACACCCCTAGTAATTACTACACAAGTAACTACCCCAGTTTTTACTCTGTAGCAAGAGCAGACTTATGATGACCATCTCTAGCAAGATGACTGCCTGCAGTAGGTGCTGTTTCAGTGTCTGGGCACTGGGGGACAGAGTAGCCTAGTTTCAAGCAAGCATCTTAGGATAAGATTTGGTTAGGACAGTGACATGAATAGTTACTGCTCACCTTCTGAAGGGTAACTCTGTGTTGGAGTGGAGTAACTTGCATGACCTTACACAGGTGTGTTATGCGTGCACTCTGCTTTTATTACAGAGCAAGGTTACTTTATTATGAAACGGTTGTGTTCACACCTTTGGTGTCATTGCTCTTCTTATTGCTGGGAAGGGCTTAATATGGTTATGAAACAACTTTGTTTTTTAGCAAGGTAGGACTAGAAAGGAACTTCTAGGTCATGGCATGCTGCCCCTGCAATCATAGGCCACCACATTGTAAAATCCCTTTTTATACTTAGGCTCTCCTAAAACCAGTGTTTTTGCTTCTACTGCTCCTATTGGGAAGTTGTTCCAGAACCTCTCTTCTGATGGCCTAAACTCATTTGTGCTGAGTCTATACTGGGATGGGCAAAGTCCACCCCCTGGGCCAGATTGGGCCCATGGTGGACTTCACTTCCCAGCAGCCCCGTCCACGCTGCTTTGGCTGGTCTCCATGGAGACCCCAGGAGCAGCAGGGCTGTGATGGCCCTGTGCTCCCACGGTCTGTATGGAGACCTGTGATGAGCGTGGGTCCCATGGGCAGCGGCATGCAGGCAGTATACCACCTCAAGGTCCTGGCCCTGGAGCAGCTTCCTGCCCAGCTGCACACCCTGCTGGTATGGGCTGGGGCTGCTGGGAAATGGAGTCTGACCACCAACTGGACCTGTCATTTCACCCACCCCTGGTCTTGTACCTATTTGGGTTTATGTCAACAGTGAACTTTAGACTTGAATAGCTCTCCTCTATGTCTCTATCTCCCTGGTGTTTATCTGTTACTGATAACATTTATAAAGCTGTCATTATTCCCTGTGAGCCCTTGTTCCTTTGCACTTAGCAGACTAAGCTTATTTAGTCTCCTGATCCCTCATTCCCCAGATCATCCTAACAACCCTTTTCTGCACCAGTTCTAACTTGAATTCATCTTTCCTGAACCTGAATGCATGTTTCTGATCCCAGTAGTCCAATGATGTTGCGCCAGTGGCATGTATAATGTATTTCTTTCCATCTGTATTGGAATTGCATCTCCTGATATGGCATAGGGTCACAGTTGTCTCTTTTCATGGCTAAGTCAGATATGGCTTGTCTGATTTGATAGTCATTCTGTAATTGATTTTGTACATCTAAGTGTTTACCTCCCTGTTTCCAACTATGAGCCTTAGCTTATAGCAAAAACTTGTGATCATGCCTGTCGTGTTACATTTCATGCTATTTCTGTTTCTCTAATCTCCAAAGACATCCAGGTCATCACTGGTGCCTTAAACCAGGGGTGTCAGACGTATGGGCTGGATTTAGTCTATAGAGATGACATCTGGACTGTGGGGCTCCTAGAATTTTTAGGGTAGGTCAAGTAGGGCATGGAGCCTTGTTGGGGGCATGTGTCAGTGGTAGGGAACAAGGAATGGCTGCATTGGCCCCCAAAGCTGCCGATACTTGCTTCACTGCCGCCAGTGTGTCTGGATCCCACTTGCAGGGAGCCCTGTGATCTGGATCTGTCACGTGGGGGAAGGGGTCAGTTCATCACCCCACCTTTAAGCTAGTGTCATGAGTAAATTTCACTAACCCTCCCCTACTTCTTACCTAGAAGTCATTAATGAAAGTTATTTAATAAAATCAGTCCCAAGACACCAACTGCAGAGACTTCCTTAGCCTGACGAAGGGTTTTTAAACCTGAAAGCTTGCAAAAAATTTTTTCCAACTATTTAAGTTGGTGTAATAAAAGATATCAGATTCACCCAAAGAACCTTGTCTGCCTGTCCTTGGACCAACACGGCTACAACCTACACCCCAGTCCCAAGACTGTTATTTGAGGAACTCCATTAGTAGCCTCCCTCCAGCCTGATACTTCACCTTTCAGAGGCTATGAACAGATGTGCTGTATGAAGCACTCCGAAGTGCCTTTGCAATACTCCAAGCAGTGAGAGAATAGTAGATCAAAGAAGGTGGGACTGAAGGCGACTTCTGGAGAACATCTAGTGCAGTGGTTTTCAAACTTCCAAAAGTCACAGAACTCTTCCATATCACTTCTGCTGCAAAACTTCTACTTCTGTCCTGAAGATTGACGTGGAGCCAAGTGACCTGGCTTGGTGCTTGGGTTGTGCACTGCCATTACCCCTGTTTTCTTTGTGGAACCCCTGATGACCTGTCATGGAACCCCAGTGCTCCATGGGACACAGTTTGAAAACTGCCCATCTAGTGCATCTTGTTATCAATCTCCAAACCATCCCATACAAGCCCTTATCTAACCTATTCCTAAAACTACACAACTAACCCTGCAGCACAACTGTTTACTTCTATATGTTGGCTAACGTACAACTGAATTAATTGCAGCACATCTCAGTTATTTTTCTGTCTTGAAGGGTAAAGTAGGGGATACAGCGGAAAGATGGCGAGCTCTAAGACTTTGCTGTCTAACTAACAGGAGTTCTGGGAAAACAAACTGACCTCCCCACCCTACCCCGCCACCATGAAATGTGCCTAGCCATTCCTTAGCAGTGGTGATCAAAAACATTAAGCGAAAAATTTGCAATCCTGGCCCACCTGCATCCTCCCTTCCCTGTACATTGAGGCAGTTTAAAAAATCAGGAAATTTCAAGGATATATGTTGTAGGAGCCTTGGGTGGGGAGGATGTTAATTTGCCATCTACTACTGGAATCTTCTGGTGTTGTACATTCACACATCTCTCAGCAACCACAAGGGCTAGAAAGGCCTCATTAGAACTTTGAGATTCTCTAGGAATATTTTTTACAACTTGAGAGTTTAAGCAACGCCATATATGCCAAATTGTGAGGGTTTGTAATGGCAAAGTTACTGAATTTTGGTCAGATTCAGGATTTGTACTGGCAAAGGAATGTAATGCAGAGTAACACAGGTGCAATAAAAATCATATTAGAGGAAGTACAGAGAAGAGATGATGATGGTGGCTGGCTGCTGCCCACCCAAAGGTTAACTCACAGCTTGGCCAGGAATAGAAGTAATGATTCAAGGTATCTACCAGAATCTAACATTCAGGAGTGTGGAAGCTACTGAGGGTAGTTGAAAGACAAACAACTAGGATTAATGGGATCAATTAAGGAACAGGGTGTCCAAGCAAAATGTCAGGAATATTGCTTGGTGTGGAGATCCATAAAACTTCTAAGGGACTAGGTGAATGTTAGGGGAAAAGTAGACGATACACAGTCTTTTCATGGCTGGAAACACTTAAAATTCTTTTAAATACAGGCACTTTTTTATAAGCTGTAGCTCTTAAATGGACATGCTTGTGGCACTAACATTCACTAGATCATTAATGTACTTACTAACTGAATTTTATGGGTTTTTGTTTTATAGGAATTTTTTTCCAAGAAGTCAGATTGTTCTTTGTTTATGTTTGGTTCGCATAACAAGAAGAGGCCTAACAACTTAATAATAGGTATGAAAAAAATTGTCATTGCTTCCCTCCCCACTTTCCCTAAACAGAATGAAAGAAACAGGGCTTGAAAATAAATGGCTAAAGCAGTGGTACTCAACCTCTGATCTGCAGGCCAAATCTGGCTTGCTGGGCTTCCCCAATCCAGAAATTTGGCAACATGGGAGCAGTGACAGCTGCTCCCCTGTTGATTAAATGTCCAGACCCATGGACTGGATGATATGGTCCTACAGGCTAGATTGCATTGATGTGCAGTCAGTCTGTAGCTGCTTCCAGTGCACAGGACTGGGCTAGCATTTAGCTGGATCTGGAGCATAGATTCAGGCTGATGCAGTAGATCACATGTGTAGCCTGCCT